CCCCCCCCGTCCCGTCCCGTCCCGTTAGTGATCTGTGGGACAGTATTTTTGGGAAAGTGCCAAAGCTCCCACATGTGCAGGGCTGTGTCACCAAGCTGGGACACTCTGAGAATTAGCTGTTTCACGTGGAATAGCCAGCCTAGGAAGGCCTGTGATGGCACAGTTGGGCAGTGATGTCACAATGAAGCATTGTGATGTCATAATTCATAAGTCATAATTCACAATGGCCGGGGCATGGACCCACTTATCCTGAGGCCCAGTCCATCTTCTCTAGTGCTATTTGGGGTTCTGGGATGGACCCCAGGGCCTCAAGTGTGTTAGGCAGGGACTCTGTCATGGAGCCACACCCCAACCTCCCATGAGTTCAGGGGAGTTTTGCTCGGGGGCACACAGCCACCCCGTGAGTGCAGGCCTACAAAGACATCCCACCCTCCCTGCACTCTTGCATGTTCAGGTTGCAGAGGTCCGTTCTGCACTCTTGCATGCTCAGGGTTGCAGAGGCCCGTTCTGCAGGGGTCTCTAGTGTTTCTCACAGACTTTATGATGGTGCAGGCCTACCTTTGTTAACAGACACAGACACCTCCAGGCTTCCTTGTCACCCCATTTTAATCTCGTGGGGAATCTTACAAAGTTGGCACTATTTAAATTGAAATTTAATTTTTTTTATGCGTGTGGGTGTTTTGCCTGCATGTTACCGTGGTGCATGCAGTGCATGCAGAGGCCACAGGAGGGCGCAGGTACCCTGGAACTGGAGTTACTGTTGTGAGTCGACTTGTGGGTCACAACAGGACCGCTAGGACCTAGGACCACTGAGCCACCTCTCCAGTCCCTCTTTTTAATTAAACTTTGTTACCTTTATTTGCTTTTGTGTGCATGGGAGCACACATGTGCGAAGGTCAGAAGACAATGGCCGGTTTCTCTACCTCTACTATGTGCATACTGGGGACCGAATGCAGATCACCTGTCTTGGTGGTAACCACGCTTGCACGCTGAGCCGTCTCAATGGCCCAGGCTGGTAGCCTTAATACTCCCCACGAGTATCTCACATACTTTTTCTGCTGTATGTGACAAGACGTCTGGGTATGACCTGGTGACTGAATCCGCCTGGGCTGCCCAGCTCAGCCTTGAACTTGCTCTGTAGTTCGAGCTGGCCACGAACGCAGCGCCCTAACTCAGCCTCCCAGCTGGAGGAGAATGACCATGCATCCTGGCTTCAGGCATGGCTGGATCCAGGGGCTCAGCCTGGGTCCTCAAGATTCCGTCTTTCGGGCCTCAACCCCGGCTTCTTTCCTGTGGGTTTTGTTCCAGGCCGGCTTTCCCAGGGTGCTGGTCCAGGGCACTTGCCACTTCATGCACCGTTCCAGCCGTACCCAGGGCTGCCTCTTACTGGGACGGCTCAGGACACTTGTCCGTCCTAAGCTGATCTCTGAGGGCAGGGAAGCGGATTGCTCTCATTGGTCAGATCTTATTTGCCTAGCGTCCCTTCCCCCCCCCCAAGGCGGGACTGAGGAGGGGGACCAGCCACCTCCCCCACCCAGGAAAGTTAGCCTGTAGCAGTTAATGCTAGATGGCACCACAGCTCTTCTCTTTGTTTTTACTTATTTACTTCCGCCCCATATCGCAGACTGGCCTTGAACCCTCAGTCCTGCCTCCGCCTCCCGAGTGCAGGCAGGCACGACAGGTGTGAGCCATCACGCCCCATTTCTTGTCCACTTTGCTTCGCCCCTGCTGTGAGCTGAGCATAATTCACTTCACCTGGGTGAGACCACGTGATGTGTGTTAACCAATGGGATGTGAGCAGATGGTCACGGTCAGCCTCAAGGCGGGCGTGAGGGTCTCTGCAGGTGCGGAGCCACGTGCCCCAGGTGAGTTTGCAGAGCTCACGAAAAACCCACAGATGCCTGAGATGTGAACGAGTTAGGATGCTGCTGAGTTTCCTTGATTATTTTTTAAGATGGTTTATTTTTATCCTTGTCTTGCCTGCGTGTTTATCTGTGCACCGTGTGAGTGTAGTGCCCACGGAGGTTATGGAACGAGTTACAGATGGCCGTGGATGCTGGGACTCAAACCCGGGTCCTCTGTTCGAGAGCAGCCAGTGCTCTTAACCGCCGAGCCATCTCTCCAGCCCTTGGTTTATTTTCCTGATAGTGCAGTGAGCTATAGTTAATGGATTCAGAAGCCAGCCAGACCCCAAATCAGAACTCTATGGCATTCGAGAAGCCAGGACCGTTGCAAGGGCCACCAACAGTAAAGGTAAGATTTGAACCCAGTTTGGTGCCCTCATGACCTCTGCCTCCCTCCATTGCTTCTGCGTGGGGACCCTGACAGTCAGCAGGCCCCCAGCCCCCACCTCCTTGCTCTCTTGGCACCCTGTCCCTTCAAGGATCTCTGACTTCCCTCCTGGAGGGGCTCATTAGGGGTGAGCATGCATACATGTGTGACTGCCACTGTCCCCCAAGTTTAAAGCTCTTTGGGAAATAATGGATACATTGGCGATTAAAGCAAAGGGGTCAGGTCAAGTGAGGCTTCACGGGAACTCTGGTCTTAACAACTACTTCTCAAGACTGTTAATTATCATTCAGGTAGTGCCAGGGACTTTAGCTTAGTCCGCAACCTGAGGCAGGGAATCTCGTGTTCTAGGGTCCCTGCCCCAAACAAACCAATGTGTGTTCCCGGATCTGCCCCACTGACATCCCTAATAGGATGCTATGAATCTAGGTATGAGGCCCGGTGACTCCTGGTTATGGTTGGAGTCAAATCCTTACTCCCCTGCAGCTCATTATGAAGTTTTGTGTTACAACTGGGGAAACTGAGGCAGGGGTGTGTGGTGTGTGGTGTGTGTGTGTGTGTGTGTGTGTGTGTGGTGTGTGTGTGTGTGTAGAGGAGGCATTCATTTTCCTCCACTGCAACACAGAGTTTCTCCAAACTAAGTTTTGTTCCCTGGGACATTAATTGAAACACAAACTTAGGTTCAAATGTTGGCAGAATAATGGGCTGAAGTCTAAAGGGTATTTATTAGCCTGCAGACCTTTTCGGAGTCTTTGCTATGCCGGTGCTATGTGTATCTCGGGAGTGCTGTTTCTTGTTTGGGGCAGTGCTGGGTACCTAAGGCATTAGGTCTGTCCCAGTTGCTCTCAGCCCCTGGCTGTAGTGATTTGGAAGATGCAGTTGTCCTTTGCATGCTGGGAATCAAACCCAGGTCCACCGAGCCACCTCTTCAGCTCTTCGGTTTGTTTGACTTTGTGGCCATGAATGTAGTTCAGCATGCCTGGCCACCTCATCTGCTCAGCCTGGAGACACGGGAGCCCAAGATAGTTCCAGGGGGAGAGAGCCAACCCCTGCTTCTGAAGGCAAACAAAGCCTGGAGCATGTATGTTGCTCCAGCCATGCATAGAGCAGTTAGGAGATGGAATGGGAGGGCAGCCCTGATTAGGAGGCCGTGGGCTTGCGGTGGGCCTCACCAGACTCGCCTGTGCACCGTTCTGTGCCGGCAGGAGCTGCTTGGTCCTGAGCCTGCTTTGACTGTCACCTTCTATCGCTCTGGTGGCCTGACCTGTCTCAAGGCTGTCCTGTCCATCCAGGGTCCCTGTGAAAGCATGGGTCAGTGCCATGACATCTAGAATGTCCTTCAGGTCAGCCATCTCAGCTCCCAGAAAGGGAAACTGAGGCCTAGGGAGAAGGAACCCAGCCACAGGGCTGACTGGCCGACCCTTCTATCATGCTCCTGACGACTTTGTTTTCATCACAATATGCCAGTTTGGGGAGGAAAGCTTACTTAAGGGCAGCTCTGTGTGGCAGTTGGGGCTCAGACCCTGTCCAGCTGCTGCTATGCCTGTCTCGGCTCTGGGTGTCCCACTGGCTTTGGTTTTAGGGGGTGTGGGGCTGCCATTATTTTGCAGGTGTTCCTTGGGTCCTGTGTCTGGGAAACAGGTATGATCTCATTCTCACCTGATTGGGTCACTGAGGTCATCATGTCTGTCACCTGCTGATTCTCTGTGATTCCACCCTGGCTGTCTTCTGCGTGCTAACCCATCGCCTGGTCTCATGTATCCCCTGGGCTATCAGATGGTGCCTGGCTCCTGCACTTACCACGAAAAAGCCTGGCTATGTCCACATTGAAACTGTTCCCTTTGAGTGGACTCCGGGTTGCAGGAAGGTTTCAGGAGACTGCCGCCGCCGCTGAAGGCTTGGCTGAAGGTTTGGCGGGACCTCTGCTCTAAGCCCCACCACACCAGCCCGGGCTCCATGTGGGATGGGAGGGCTGCCTCAGACTGGAGGTCCCAGTTTTTCCTGGCATAGATATCTGGCTCTTGGCCAGGAATGGAGCTGGGGACAAGCAGGGGTGGGGACAGGGTACAACGAAGCCCTCATGTTGTGGGGTTGGACCCTTCCTCCTGCTCCCCTCTTACTGAGTGCTCTGAACCTAGACACCCCACCCCCGGCAGACTGTAGGACAGGTCTCTTACCTTTCTCCGTGTGGGCACCCAGCCCACGCCACTGTGGCCTCAGGCAGGAGACTTCCTGCCTCCCAAGGATGTTGTGTCTGACAAGGTCCTACTGGTCCCTGGTGAGCCCCTAGTGACAGGATTGATAGGTGTCTAGTCCAGCATCATCTGGGCTGACCAGGATGATGGCAAGCCTGTCCCCAGCTACTCTGCTACCATTTAAGCTGGGAGGATGACAAACAGAAAGGGGCTGGGGAGGGACTGACAATGGGGGTGGGGGTGGTTTAGGAGCCACTCAGCATTAGAAAGAGCTCAGGGTTGATTCTGGTTTCGCTCCTGTGGATGGACCATTGGCCACCAAAGATGATGCATAATGCATGGGGTAGCACCAAGCTCGCAGAGCTTTGTAATAACGTGGGGCTTGGAACACTGCTATGCTATCCCACCCCACCCCGCCCACCAGGCTCCCTGGGGCGCCCTCCCATGGATCCCAGAGGGAGGGAGCCAGCAAGAGTGGCAACAGCTTTGCAGCAAGCACACATCTGAGACACCATCTGTTTTCTGTTTTTTTTCTTTCTCTTCGTTTTTAAAACAATATAGTGCAGACTGCACTTCTCACAGTAGAATATAATGGTCAATTTTAGTATAAAAAAACATTCTCGGAGATTTGTAAATGCACTTAGTGCTTGGACAGGCCTTGGAGAGATACGGTACTGCTTCCGGAGCGAGCGCCTGGGGCCAGGGGACTGCAGGGCCTTGACCACTTCTTGGACTTACCTACGCCCTCCCCCGCCCCCCCCAACAGTGCAGGCCTGGGAGGAGGGGCGAGTGCAGAAAAGGAGCTGGGTGGGGTATTCCAGTTATAGCCAGTAGGTGACCCCCTCACTACTTCTTCCCAGGAGACCCCACACTCCAAGAAGCAAGATCGTCCTTGTGAACAGAGTCTGAATTTACAGGCCCCTTGCTAGCCCCTGTGACATCTTTGTGCGAATAGGAAAATGGTGCCCCTTTGTCGAAATGCAGACGACTGTAATAAATATACAAGTCTAGGAGGCGAGTGGCATCTCCTTGGGCAGGGTGCCCTTGTGCGATGCACCAGCTGTCCCCAACAGCCCTGTAAGGTGTACCCGAGGGGAAGGAGAAGAGGTGGGGTCCAGCCAGTGGAGAGCGCAGGGTGGGGCATGATTCCTAGTAAGAAGGGTGCTCGGGGCTGGGGGGCTGGGAGTTGTCCTGAGGCCTCTAGGAGTCTGGAGTCGGAGTGGTCTTTACCTGGTTAGTTGGTGGGGATGGGGCACTCTGGGCCCAGGGACCCCCATGCTTCCTTCCGCTCCTTTTCTGAGAGACTAGGGCATTGTGGGTAGAAACCGAGTGGGTGGCTTGGCTGACTGGAGCACCCCTGGTCTGAGGGCCTCTGCTGGAGCCCCAGAAGGAACTTCCTGTCTGCCGAAGGTCCTCTTTCCCCGCCCCCGAGGAGGAAGGATGGGCCTTACAGGCAGCCCTGGACCCTCCCTGCTTCCTAGGGCAGCAAACTGGGGGCAGGGGGAAGCCCTGTTGTGTGAGGTCGATCTGCCTGCCCACCGCCGTGCAGGACACATGGCCCCAGGGCAGGTGGGACGCCCTGCTAGCATCCTGCCCTGTGCTGTGGCCTGCAACTCCCAGCACCTTGTCCATCCGCCCGTCAGTCCGTGTGCCCGCGGGGCAGACCTTATCTGTAGACCGGTAGGCGGATGTGGGCGTGCTGGTGGTCCAGCAGCCGCGGTACAGCCACCGTCTCGTAGCCCTTGCCCAGCATCTGCTCCTTGATGCAGGGTGGCCGAATGTCATTGATAAGATACTCCAGGGACTGCAGGCTGCTGCTCAGCACCGCTGTGTTGCACACACTCTTGCTGGCCAGGCCCGAGAGTGTGTCTGCAGGAGGCGCCGTTAGCTCCCTGGCAGCTCCGGGCCCCAGCTCCGTCACTACTGCAGCTGCTGCTGGATTGTAGCAGTCGCTAGTAGGCGTCACCAGAACACTGTTCCAAGGGGCAGCGAAGTACTGGCCCACGGTGAAGCTGGTGGGCAGCCCCACGCCACAGTTGTGGGGCGACCCGTTGGCCCTCTCGAATGCCCGCCCGCCACAAGTCTCCGGGGACTTGTTGGCTACAGTGCTGCTACTGTAGGCTCTAAGTGGCTGGGGTGGGGGTGGGGGTGGCTTCTGTGGCCACAGCAGGTAATCCAGGCCACCGTCTGCATACCCTGCGGGCTTGGTGGCCCCAGGCAGTGTCAGTGCTGGTGTGGCTCCCTGGCTCAGTTCTGTGCCTTTCCGGCAGTCTGGCAGACCGGCTGTGGCTGAGTAAGCCATGCTAGGGAAGTTGGGCACCGGGCCATGCTTGGCTGGACTGGGGTGGGGCACAGCCACGCCCTGACAGGCGCCTGGTGCAGCACCTGGGGCTTGGCACTGCTGGTTGAGCTGGTAGAGGATGCTATGGATAGAGGGCAGATTGGAGGGTGGCAGGGGGGAGGCCCCGGCCCGGCAGAGGGATCACAGAGGTGGCAGTGGCAGCTGCAGGCAGGCTGGGCGGTGGGGCGGGCGCCTCGGGTGGCTTCGGGTAAGCCAAAGGCCCCAGCGTGCTGGGCACCGGGTAGGGTGCGATGCCCACCTGCACGGTGGCCGGGGACAGTTTAGTCCGCTTGCCCTCCACACTCTTCAGCACGCCTTTGGTGTGTCCAGAGGGCACGGCTGAACTGGAGGAGGCGACCGCAGCCTTGACAATGGCCAGCAGGCCCTGGTAGCCGGTGGAGTGCTGAGGGTAGGGACTGTAGCGCTGGCCACTGGTGTCGTAGCCGTTGACTGTGCGGCTCAGGTGCTTGTGCTGGGGCACTCGGATGTTGGTGGGGAAGATCTTGATGGACAGTGGGCTGTTGGCCACCTTCTCGGCGTAGGCATCCAGCTCGGCTGGGCTGGGGTAGCGGGAGGAACGCATAGGGCTGGCCACTGACTCACCTGCAGGGAGACAGAAGGCACAGTGAGAGTCAGGCTGGCAGCCACAACCCCTCCTTCCCTACCAGGACTCCCGGGAGCCGCGGAGTCCCCGTCCCTCACTGGTTTTTCCTCTGCTCCTCCCACACTCCCGGAAGCGTAAGGTTCACAGGGGAACCTGCACACGCGTCCAAGGTTGAGATACACGCCCCACCCCTCCTCGGCCACAGCCAAGCTTGCCACTTCTTTTCCTCTCTGAGACAGGGCCCTGCGTGTGTCCCAGGTTGGCCTCAAACTTGATGTGTATACAAGAATGACCTTGAACTTCTGGTCCTCCTACCTCTCCCTCCCAAGAGCTAGGGTTACAGCTATATGACATCACATCTGTTATGCATGCCTGGAATCGAACCCAGAGCCTCACAGTGCCAGGCAAGCGCCCTACCAACCAGGCATCTTCAGCTCTACCCCCACGTCCAGCAACACGGAGTAGCTGTGCTGGCATTCTGGGCTGGATGGGATGACTCGAACACCGGGTGCCCATGGTGGCTGGCCTGTTGATACTGTGTGTGACATTCTAGATCGTGAGACTTACCCACCATAGACAGTCACTACTGGCTCTGCCATGGGGCAGGTGAGTTGCTGGATCCTCTGAGGTGGGGTGACAGAGAGGGGTTCGGAGTGACACACAGGAAGACCTGTACTGGTGCTGGCAGAGCTTGGGTGGAACTCTGGTAATGTGTGTAGCCTAGGCAACTGAGTGCTTAGCAAGCTTCAGCTTTCTCACTTGGTGAATGGGTATAATAACGGTGCCAGGGCGGCAGTGCCGAGGGGCCCCGGTGGCGGGAGGCACACAGTGGGTGATGGGCTATCGAAACCCTGGGGGACTTAGGTAAGGGGCTTCACCATGCTGAGCCTCCATTTCCCCCGAGGGTGGCTGTGAGGATTTAGGTCCATTTCGGCGGTGGTGAGGAAGAGCAATGTTCAAGCCTGGCCTGGGGCAGGGCCTCACCAGGGAGGGACACACCCATGACGACCTTTCAGCTGGAGGCTTCCTACCTGGTCCTCCCAGAGCCCTGACCCTCATGGCCTTGGTCCAACCTTAGCCTGGCCGGTGGTTCTCTGTGTTAGGTAGGCTGGCAGCAGAGGCAGCTTCTCCCAGACAGGGTTGCCAGAGGCAGCGCCTGTGCACCTGAGGGCGGCTTCTCACCACCCCGGGCACTCCAAACAGTTGGAGATAATATGCTTGTCATGACTAGGGCTCTGCAGACTGGTGGCTGCCTCACATGCCACAGTACACAGGACAGAACAGGCTTGATCCACCCAGCCCCGTGGGCCAGCAAGGCCCAGATGCAGCAGGGCAGAAGGAGACAGTGACAACATGGAACAGGGTAGCATTTCTCCATCTCTCCGTCTGTTAAGCCTAACCTGGGCACAGAAGGTAAGTCCACCTCAACCCTGCTCTGGGCATCCCCAGCTCCTAAGTGGCCTAAAATAAACTTGGTGTGGAGAATGGAAATGTCACTTTGGCCAACGGGGGAATCTTTCTCTGCGATTGGATTTAAACTACATTATACAAGCAATTTCATGGGCGCTTAGCACCGCTCTGAGAGTCCCGTGAAAAAGGGACCAGCTCTTCATTTGCCAGCCATAAATCAGCAGTTGCTATAATGAGCACAAAAATGTCACTTTTATGCAATTTTACAGATGAACAAAACTGGTGAAATTAGCTGTGGAAACCTACCAGACTCAGCAAAAGCAGCTGCCGGGAGGGGGAAAAAATGATAGCCGTGTGTATTTTTGTTCCCCTTAAACTCTCTTTCCAAGCAAGGCTCTGCCATTGTGGTGTGAAAACTCATTTGTCCTCTGCATTATGCTTTCATTCGGAGTTTATCTTGAGTATCCAATGAGCCACCAACTGTGAAAATGATTAAATCTACAAAATCTATCTAATGGATGGAATAAATTAGGTGTTCAGAACCTTAAGAAAGGGGAGGAAATGCCTGCTTCCCTGGCCCTCTTACCAAGCGAGGGCCCACCTCGCCCCCATCTGGCCAGTGGGCCATCCTGCAGGTGGTGGCTCTGGAGGGAGAGTGTGTCCTGCATGCAGAGCCTCACGGGCTAGGTGCGGGCCCTGCATCCATCTTTTTCTGAGTAGCTTGTGTGTGGAGGGCCGGACAACGGTGAGAGGGTGGGGACGGCATCTCTGCGATGTACGAAGGGACTGTGTGACATGTGGCATCCAGCCTGGAGCCCTGCTTCCCTAGTGATTCTCACCACCTGGTACTCAAGCCCCTGCAGTCTCCAGGTTCCCACACTAGGCAGGGTTGAACTGTACAGCCAGAAGGACCCTTGGGAAGGACCACGGGTTTCTGAAGTTTGGCTCTCCCACAGAACCCAGTCACACTGGACCTCGAGAGGTAATGAGAGCCATGTTCAGTCCCAGCCACCCCTCCAGACACTCAGCCAGGAGGCCCTTGGGTTTCACACAGGGTCGTCACCTGTCACATGGTAAGATGACACACGGGTCCCCATTTTATAGGTGAAGAGGTCGGAGGTTACAGCCAGTCAAAGGCAGACTAACTCAGACTGTCTTCTGTGTCCCCGTCACTCCATCCCGGGCAGTGCCTGGCGGGGCTGGGGCATGTCTGAGGGCCGAAGGCCACCCTCACGCGCCATCATTCAGCTGCTCAGGGACTGGCTGGGCTGGTGTTTAGTGAGCCTCTTTCAGGACATGGTGACAGCGATATTGCTGGAGTCTCCCATTACAGCCTGGTTTAATCGTAGACCCCATATACGCCTTTGAGATGGTATCCCCGGCTTAAGCCTTGGTCCCTAAAAGACCTGTTTTGTTTTTTTTTTTTTTTCTGGCTACCCCACAGTGCTTTAAACACAGCCTGTTCTGCAGTGGACCTGGCTTGGGACCCTAAACTACTTGGCTCCTGGGCCCAGGTTGGCAAAGTCCCAGACTTTCCAGTGGAGAAAAACCAATTACAAGTGCTTGCACCACCACGTGGTCTGCTTAGTAAACACAGGGCAGTAGTGAATAGGGAAAGGTCCTTATGGGAGGGGCTGTGGAGCTCTGGGGGCTGGGGGAGGCTGCATGGCCTCGCTGGGGAAGCCCGGCCCCCGCGGCCCCCCACCCCCACCCAACCCACTCCCTGTGTTCTGGTTGGTTTGGGAGTCTCAGTGGCATCTGTCATCGCTGAAGGGACCACAGTGGACCGACCGCAGTTGGCCTCCACACTCAGGGCTCCCTCTACTGGCTTGTGCACGGCTGGGGCTCCATTACCCATAGGGCACTGTGGACGCTGGAGCCCGTCCATTCGGGACCCCGCCACTGCCTTGGCTGCACACTCAGTTTCCTGAGTCTACCATGCAGACAGCGAGGGAAGGAGCCAGCACCCTGCATGGGGATGGTGGGCAGCAACAAGCCCCAGAAACGGGATGGTGGCAGCTTGACAGGTGTCGTGGACACATCCGCATTCTTGGGCACGTCTACTGTAAATAGCGGTGTCTGGCTGCCCTAGTTTGACATGAGTTGGATTAGTGGGTTCATTATATTGAGAAGACTGTAGTGTGGGTGGGTAGGTAGAGTTGTGGTGCTAAGTGACTTTCACGAGGCGACTTTTTTTTTTTTTTTGAAAGATAGGGTCTCTCTATGTCGTCCTGGCTGTCCTGGAACTTAACTATGTAGACCTCACAAAACTTCTCACAGATTCACCTGCTTCTGCCTCCCGAGTGCTGGGATTAAAGGTGTTCACTACCACTCGTGGTGACTTGGTAAAAGGCCATAAGACAGGTACCTCGAGTTCAGAAGACCCTAGACCCTTCTCCCTCCACCGCGGGAACACCCCTGGGCAGCTCCTCACTGTCGTGTCTGGGGCATAGCGGCTGCCTGGCACTGACTCCTGGGATAGTTTGATGTGCTACCCTGGGAATCAACAGTAAGGTCCAGTGGGCTGAATGGTGGGCTGGAAGGGCTTGTGGCTAGGACCCAGTGGTCAGTGAGGATGCAACTTCTGAGTAGGGGGGAGAAGAGGAGAGGGGGGGGAGGAGTCATACAGGATCTGAGCAGAGGGACCAGCAGCCCAAATGTCCAGACCCCAGGCCTCCGTGGTCATCTGGTGTGAGCTCCACATGGTAGGTTCCCAGGGGAGACACCATATTACATATAATCCCCTGAAGGGCCCCTGTGTTGAAGGCTTGGTCCCTTGCTGGTGGCGTAAGTAGGGCTGATGGGGCTTTGAGGGGACTAACGGGTTAATGCGTCAGTGTGTTGTTCATCTTGAGTTGACCATGAGGTGGGCCTGGCTGGAGAAAGTAGGCCAACTGAGTAAGAACGAGCTTTTAGCTCCCAGGTCTGCCCCGTGTGCCCTCAGGGTGTGGCTGCCCCTGCCAAGCCCATGCTAAGTTGGCTTCACTGCTTGAGCCCGGAGGGTGGGGGAGCAGAGGACTAGTCTTCCTGGGAGGCCTGGGCCTGGGCCAGCGTGACAATGATCTCTTTGAAGCTCTGTGTGACATCCCCACTCAGCTCCTCTGTAACAGCCTTCAGTAAGATACACTGTTCAATGGAGGTGCTGGCCGCCTGACCCAGACCTCCTTTGGCAGCCTCCTTTCCCGTCACAGACCCTGAAGGCACACACAGTGTCACAGCTTCCCCTGGGTCAGGCACTGTGCCCTCCTGAGTCTGCTTCGAAGGGCCCAGTGCTCCAAAAAGGTTAGACATGCGGGTTGGCATCAAGTAAGGGTGACCTGGCCTGCCTCTCCCAGCTCAGCTCTCCCCTAATCCATCTCCATCCAGGAAGCCCCCATTAACGGCTTGTCTGGAGATTTAAAAGGCTGGCAGGAAGTGCCGGGCGAGCTGTCGCTGCCATTAAGTTAATGTTATGGGCCTTTTACAGGTGTGTTAAATAGACGCGGTTATTAACGAGTATATTAAGCCAATTAAAACCAGCCCTCTGAGTGGGGTTTAATGTTGCCTCAGGGAGACAAGAGAGGGCTTCACTGCACTGCTGCCAGTGGTG